CCAAGCCCCGCCCCCCCAGGGTCCCCAAATCACTGCGCTTCAATGCTTTTTTAGACCCCATCTCCATTCCTCACCCCGCCGGTGCCTTTTGGGTTAATTACTCACAGCTCATCAACGTGTTATTAATCATAGTAGAATCATAGAATGGTCCAGGCTGGAAGGGAAGCTCCGAAAGTCATCTACTCCCACCTCCCTGCAGTCAGCAGGGACACCCCCGACTAGACCTGGTTGCCTCCTTGAGCCCCACCTTGAATATCTCCAGGGATGGGGCCTCAACCACCTTTCAGTACTCCACCACCCTCACAGTAAAGAAGTAGGTCCAGAGGAAGGCTATGAGGATGACCAGGGGGTTGGAGCACCTCTGCTAGGAGGACAGGCTGAGGGAGCTGGGGGTGTTCAGCCTGGAGAAAAGGAGGCTGAGGGGAGACCTTCTCGCTCTCTCCAACTCCCTGAAAGGAGGGTGTAGCCAGGGGGGGTCGGTCTCTTCTCCCAAGGAACAGGCAATGGGACAAGAGGAAATGGCCTCAAGTTGCACCAGGGGAGGTTTAGGATGGATGTTAGGAGCAATTTCTTCACCGAGAGGGTTGTCAAGCCTTGGAAGAGGCTGCCCAGGGCAGTGGTGGTTGCCTCCTTGAGCCCCACCTTGAATATCTCCAGGGATGGGGCCTCAACCACCTTTCAGTACTCCACCACCCTCACAGTAAAGAAGTAGGTCCAGAGGAAGGCTATGAGGATGACCAGGGGGTTGGAGCACCTCTGCTAGGAGGACAGGCTGAGGGAGCTGGGGGTGTTCAGCCTGGAGAAAAGGAGGCTGAGGGGAGACCTTATTGCTCTCTCCAACTCCCTGAAAGGAGGGTGTAGCCAGGGGGGGTCGGTCTCTTCTCCCAAGGAACAGGCAATGGGACAAGAGGAAATGGCCTCAAGTTGCACCAGGGGAGGTTTAGGATGGATGTTAGGAGCAATTTCTTCACCGAGAGGGTTGTCAAGCCTTGGAAGAGGCTGCCCAGGGCAGTGGTGGAGTCACCATCCCTGGAGGTATTTAAAAGCCGGGCAAACGTGGCACTGAGGGACATGGGTTAGTGGTGTTTTTTGTTAGTGTTGGGTTGATGGTTGAGCTCGATGATCTGAAAGGTCCCTTCCAACCTGGATGATTCTATGATTGTGCTGCCTGTGTGAGCTGGACTTCTCGATTGGCACAGCTGAGAGATGCTCTTATTGTAGGCTCTGCAAGCAGTGCCTTTCCCTCATCCCAGTACAGGAGCTGCATCAGCAGCATCAGCAATATGGTGTGTCCCAGCGCAGATTCCTTTTTGAGTGGTTTTGGGGCCCCTCATGACAGGAAAGGCACTGAGGGACATGGGTTAGTGGTGTTTTTTGTTAGTGTTGGGTTGATGGTTGAGCTCGATGATCTGAAAGGTCCCTTCCAACCTGGATGATTCTATGATTGTGCTGCCTGTGTGAGCTGGACTTCTCGATTGGCACAGCTGAGAGATGCTCTTATTGTAGGCTCTGCAAGCAGTGCCTTTCCCTCATCCCAGTACAGGAGCTGCATCAGCAGCATCAGCAATATGGTGTGTCCCAGCGCAGATTCCTTTTTGAGTGGTTTTGGGGCCCCTCATGACAGGAAAGGCATTGAGGTGCTGGAGTGTGTCCAGAGAAGGGCAACGGAGCTGGTGAGGGGTCTGGAGGACAAGTCTTGTGAGGAGAGGCTGAGGGAGCTGGGGGTGTTCAGCCTGGAGAAAAGGAGGCTGAGGGGAGACCTTATCATGCTCTATAACTACCTGAAGCGGGGGTGTAGAGAGGTGGGGGTCGGTCTTGTCTCCCAAGTCACAGGAGATAGGACAAGGGGAAACGGCCTCAAGTTGTGCCAGGGGAGGTTTAGATTGGATATTAGAGTCATAGAATTGTGCAGGTTGGAAGGGACCTTAAGGATCATCTAGTCCAACCATCAACCTAACTCTGACAAAAAAATAAAGAAGAAATAAACAATAAAAAAAAAAAAAAATCACTAAACCATATTCCTGAGGACCATGTCAACCTGTCTCTTGAACACCTCCAGGGATGGTGCCTCAACCACTCCCCTGGGCAGCCCATTCCAATGCTGGATAACCCTTTCTGTGAAGAAATGTTTCCTAATCTCCAATCTAAACCTCCCCTGGCGCAACTTGAGGCCATTTCCCCTTGTCCTATCTCCTGTGACCTGGGAGACGAGACCGACCCCCGCTTCTCTACACCCCCCCTTCAGGTAGTTATAGAGCGCATAGGAAACATTTAAGCATACACTGAGGTGTTTTGTTATATGAAAGCTCAAAGTATTTCCAAATGTTGGCTCTAACCCTACAAACACTTATGTGTACACTTGGCGTCGTGTATGTCAGCAGTTCAAGACACCACTCAGGTGTCACGCCACATGTGAACACACACTTGCAAGCTCAGGAATTCCAACAATAATTCTTTATTTCCCATCTAGATTTTTAAAACGGGTATAACTACAAACCTCGTCAAAAATATCAGTTTAACATCTTAAAATGGAGCCATTTCTAGTTACCCAGAGGCCCTCAAAGTTTGTAAAAAGGTTTTCTTAATCATCCAAACCATCTTTTTCTGTATGTCTATAAATAATAAAAAAGGTTGATCTTGATTTTTACCAAACTTCACACACACACACAGAGAAAGTCAATATTGGGCTGAAAAGATTTCATCCCAAAGGTCGTTACTATTTTTTAAGAAGTGGTGAGTGCTGGGAGCTAATGGTCTCACAAATGGAACTGCCTTTTGCTCTCAGACATAACTTAGGGCCCGATGGCAGTAATTCTATAATTAAATACAGATAAATATGAGGGGTCACTAACAGGCAGGTCTAATAACCACCATCATCAAGTAGCATTTCCTGGGCTAACTCCTTACGGTATCCAGCCTATAAATAAATACTAACCTCAGTGAAGAGATAATGTTTCAAATTATGGCACTGAGACATAAAAAAAATGAGGTTTTTTAAAAAAATTACACAAGTTATGGCTTAGTATTTTTACCCACAATTAAGATGTATTTCCAAAGAGCAGCTCCTATCGAGTTTACATAAACTTGACGTGATCTTCCCCTCTGTAAAATCCATCACGGCAACTGAACCACCACAGGAGTCTTAGCTCTGAATCATCATGTTATGTGGTAGAAGGGAAAACCAGAGAAAGTCGCCTGCATAAGAAAGATAGCAATTTTTTAATTTTTTTTTTTCCTTCATTAAGGTGTTATGTTTCATTGCAGTAAATTCCTGCGGTGTCATCTGCAGAGCGCAGTCAATCACCATAAAGAAGAGTCTTAAACCACCTTACAGATGTCAAAAGGATTAGACTTCGGGCCAGTGAAGCACTGTGAAGACCTTGGTATTATTTTTTCTTCCCCATTTATTGTTCAATATCACCAGACAGAGCTCAGCTCTGCG